CATTTTTAAAGAAATGAAATTAACATATATCTGTCATAACTCTTTCACCTGCAGGTTTTCTAGTATTACAAATATATATCCATGATCATCTGGGTTTCTCCATTGCGCTTAACAATCCTTTTTGAATGTATCTCTATCCATTCCGTGATTAATTGACTGAATAATTTGAGATAAATCTTTGTCGTTCAATTCGAATAATCAAAAACAATTTGCATTTTTTCGAATGAACATTGCATCCATACCGTAGAAAGATTGGGATTGGTATATGCAGTGACAGTTGTGATTTCTTTCCTTTGTGAAGAATTCTTATTGAACAGCTTGATTTCTTTGTGCTACACTATTGAGTGCTTTCGCTCACTATCAATTTTAGACAAATCTAAATCATTAACATTTTTCGTAAGAAAAACTTTTATATCCGTTGGATAGAAAGATGGATTCTTTTCTTTTATATATGTATCTAAGATATCTTTTATTTCTATCTCGTCATTGTCTTCATGATATTTAAATATGTCTTGAACGTCTTTCTTTGGTATATATTCTAAAGCTTTGAGGAATTGATAATATGATTGCTCTGGTGTTGGTGTGTAGATATATAATGAATCGAAATCTAAAAGTTTTGGTGTTGTCAACATGTTAAAGGTCAGATAAGTTTTCCCAGAACCTGAGCTACCGCATATAAACATGAGCATTGGATTACTAGGAAATATTTCTGAATGATTAAATTTCTTTCCCATTTTTTATTCCATATTTTTGTTCCAAAAATCACTCCTTCTCCTTTATACTTTGAAAGAAAGATTCCCTCTCCAGAATGTTTGTTTTTAAAAAATATAGCATTACCCTTACATTTGACCTTCGTTTCTCCTGTGTCGATTTTATCTATTAGATTACTTAATCCCTCTTTAACTGTTTTCTTGGTTTCTTCACTAAATCGATTTCCAAATTCTTTAACTGTCCCTAATATATCTGCTACTTCCGAACCTTGAGCTATTTTTTCCATTTCCATATTATGTCTACGTTTTTCACTTTTTTCAGCATCAGCTGCTTTCTTGGCGTAGATGGCTTGTGTTATCCCTGCCGCCACACCAGCTGTCGCACCTGCTGCGGCCAGACCAGTAAATATTAAAGGTAGGAAAGGTAAAAATCCACCTTCCTTTACACTCTTGTCAATTCTTTCCAAATCTATATCATCACGGACTTTACAATGTTTATATTTATCAATAATTTTTTTAGATATTTTAATCCTTTTGCCATTGAATGTTATTGTAGTTGGTGATTCCGTTTCGATAGCTTCTATTATTCTTTTTACTAAAGTTTCTGGTTTCATTTTTAAGAGGGTAATTTAAATGATTATTCTATACGAATCATCCGTCTGTCGGATATTTTAATTGAATGTTTTGCTTCTTCTAATAATAAACAATAACCTGTTACATTTCCTTGTGATTTTTCAATATAAATATTTATATTCACCCCTGTTTTGAAAAGATCTTCTTGATGAGCTGATAGATCAAAACAGAAGATTGGGTGATATTCAAACTGAGGTGAATTTCCAAATAATTCACACATGTTTTTATAGTTTCTATACAATTCATTATAATCCTTCGTGGTTGGATTATTTGTTAAAGGTTGGTTAGGATAATTATCGTTGTTTAATCTTACTTGAACTTTACGGATTATAGGATCTTGAGTTTGGTTCATTGCTGCTCTAAAAATATTATTGTTATTCGTTTGAGAATCTGGTAAGTTCTTGAAGCCAACCATTAAATATCTTGCTGGTTTAATAGTGTTAGTGATTGGCCATGTAGTGGATTCTCCAGTTAAACTTATGCTACCTATTGTATTGCGACAAAGAAATGCTATTTCTATATCTTTAGTTAATGAGTTGAATATTCTCGTTTCTACTTCAATTGATGGTGTTATTACGGGTATGTAAAGTTGGAGATTCGATATTTCTAATTTTGCATCTGAAGCATTCCCTCCAAAGAATATCTTATCATCATTGATTTCTCTTTGTAGATGAATTTTATATGGTAACCCTATGGAAACTTTTCTGTGTTCCAACATTATTGTACTAAGTACTCGTTTTTCAAATCCATGATTACCTGCTCGTCCTACTCTTTCTATTATGTTTTGAGCAATAGCTCTCATTCTATCTTCATTTGCATCATTTGGAACATTTCTTACCGGTTCTTTTAAAACTCTTTTCTAACGTTGTGGTGGTACACGATTCTCATTAGGAGTTCCGTCTTTGATTTTGAAATCGCATCTGAAATAGGCATCAGACAGAAGCAACAAATTCGATAATGAATTAATCTCGAAAGTGACCCTACCTCCATCATTAAGTTCAGACCTAGAGCCAACGGTTGGTGATATGATAATGTAATCCTCTTTTTTCTTATTAAACGAATAACGAATTGGATCATATAATTGAAAGATCGGATCTAATCTGTAATTTTTTTCTGCCATTTTTAAAGATAGGTTTTACCCTATTATTTGAAACCATTTACCCCCCATGGAAATGCAAGAAGAATAACAAAAAACCAAAGTAAGTTTTAATAAATACAAGGAAATTTAAAACATAAACAATTACATGTATATTGATATACACTTCTACTAGATATATTTCAGAGTTATCTCCCCTCTTACACTATTGCCAGTCATAGTTCAAGGGTTAAGGGGTTACGACTGCTCCTGTAGAATCGCTAGATATACTTCAGAGTTATCTCCCCTGTGACACTATTGGTAGTCATAGTTCAAGGGTCAAGGGTTACGACCACTCCTATAGTATCGCTAGATATACGTCACATATTTTATCCTTTTCGAAAATGCTTGTTCTTCAACACTTGTTCTATTTTCGAAATCTGTATCAACAATTTTGAAACCTCGGATATTTGTCACAGAGTTTGGTAAAATTCTTGTCCTCTTTATATCCCCCACTGCCTGCGATGGTTTAAATATTCTTCGTGATATGAAATTTTGACATCTATTAAACTTGTGTCTGGAATAGAACAAAATTGATATTTTGAAAAACAACAAATAATCTTAATCCACCCTCTAGTCTTATGATTAAATCAAACAAAGAACATACCTTGATTTTGTATGATTAGATTCCTATTCTTCCAGCGTAACAAAATTGAGACAGTGTTAATAGTTGAGAGTTTAGTCTGTCTATGCGGACGTGGCATAGGCAGAATGTTATATGTTATACAACCATCTGTTACTTAGTGACGTATATCCAGTCAACAATAGTCTAGACGACTGATTGTTACCGGGCATTGAAGGTAATTATTAAATCAATAATACTCTAGAAAACCTAACCGTGTATAAACTGGTTGGTATTTTACTTTGAAGTAAATAAAAAACAGTGTTACTTCCCATTCATCAGTCCATACCCATTTTCATCTTTGCTTTCAAGAGTTTAATGATTAATGCTCTTTGAATTCTCTCTTTGAAAGTTGGATTTGGAATATTTTCAAGTTCGATTATCATTTTTTTGTTATGTCTTTATTTCTGTATAATATGTCGTGTTTAAGTGCAGCGGGTCAACTCTATTGACAGGTTCTTCACCTGGTTTGGTTTATCATTTTGGTCTAATCGCAGATCTAACCTTGTACCTGGACCAGTGTAATTATGACCGGGAAGATGTTTTTCTCCGGGGTATTTTGCCCATGGAAATCCGGGAAGAGAACCTAATGATTTTTTAATGTCAGAACCGAAATAAGTTTTAGGAGTTTGAGCAATTATCATGGACATTTTTATCCAATAATTTTAAAACCATTGCCTTTTTTGTTTTCTAATCTTTTATTTCGCATTTCTCTTATATGTTGTAATTCTTTTAACTTAGATCTTTTCACTGTTTCGCTCATATTTACTCCTGCTTTTGCTACAGATCCAAGAGCTTGCGCTTCTGAGGAAATGAGGGATTATAATTTATAAAAAAAAAAATCACTTTTTGACGTTTTAAAGTGACTTTTTTTCTTTAAATTATAAAAAGTGCTCCCTATCTATATACTCTTATACTACTGAGTTATTGCCCTTGTCCCAAAATCTTGAATATGCTATTACTCGCTTAGTTTTCAACCGATTTTGATGAAACTTAAAATGGATGTTATTGGATCTAAATCGAAAGGTTTGAGAAAGTTTAGTTTACTTCTGATTGAATTTAAGGCTTTTTCAAGATTTAGGCCTCTTACGTCAGTTTTGAGGAGTTATGGCCCTTTAACTTCTATACAGTAAGAGTTTCTATCAACATCAATTGCTCGTAAACACTCTAAAAACTAGAGTGTTAGAAGGAATCAAATGAAATTCGGTATGTACATACATATTCATGAAACAAATATCAAGTTCAAATTTGAGCTATTTTCGACCATTAGAAGCAGAGTTATTTCCCATGCCCCAAAATCTTGAATATGCTATTACTCTCTTAGTTTTCAACCGATTTTGATGAAACTTAAAATGGATGTTTCGTTTTTACCATCCGCATGCCATGGTGGGCGTATATGGCTGTGGTCCACTATCTTTAAGTAAATTTTGTCACAATAAAGACTACCTTTCTGTGATATTTATAATTGTTATGTTATAATTGTATTTGTTGAAGAAGAGGATTATACAAATATATTACTTGATACATGTAAAAATCTTTGTTAATTGTTGATTTTAATTGTTAATTATAATGTTAAAAAGGTTTAGAGATCTTGCAATATTATTGAAAGAGAAAATTTTGATTTTTAAATTGGAATACTGTGTTTTGTCTCTTTTATTCAAAATCCACCCTGTTTTCGTGGTAACAACAGCAATCTTATTGTGGTAATTCATTGAAGATCACATTGTTTTTGCAAACAGTCAAATATGGTCTTTCAAAAAATCCATTGGTTTTGGGGTTTATGGTATTTTAAAATACCACTGGCAGATTTGTATATGCTTCCCTGACTTTGATTGTTTTCTAAAATAAAGTGTATTCCTCAACTAAAGATTACATGGAAAAACTGTAGTCTGAAAGGGTTAAGTGAATGGGGTTTTGAATTTGAATGTAAGGTATGCATGTTAAAAAGCTCTGGATGTGTAGATTATGTTTCTGTAAGAATTGTTGTTCAAACGTTGATATGGTCGCTGCTAGAGCTCGTTAAAGGAAAATTTCACAAGTTTCAATCGCCTATAAAACCAAAAGTTAACGCTGGAAACGAAAAATGAAACTACCAATGGATAGATGTTACCTTAAACTTTCGGCCATATGAAACTTAAGGTCATGAGATTTGAAGGTCACAAGGTATTAAGTGTGGTAATATAATACATATGTTATTTTTGAGATAAATCTATTCCACCAGAAGTACAAACATTGAAACTGGAATGATGAATTTTTGAATGTGTGCTTTTATTCCATGTAAGTTTCTAGACAATCTGCCAAATAACAATCGAAATAGTATTTTTTGATTAATTTCGGAAATAACAAGTATCGAACGAATTTTTCGAAAATCAAAATGTTTTAACTGCTATCATTTGCCCTTTGTTACAAGAAATACAATGATAGAAACCCGATCAAAATCACTGAGAAACATGCCCTCTAGAGTCCATTTTCCGTTGCTTCATGTTGTTCAGAAAATTCATTCAACAATTCTCCACAAGTTATAAAACATGGTGAAATCTTTTTTGCCATACCTGTTGCTGTTTCCAAGAACTAAGCTCCTGGGATGAAAAAAAAAAAAAATAAATGTTCTATTAACAGTACTGATGCAGGGCGTGTTACGACATTCAGGTACATACTAAGATGGTCTATTGCAATTACATTGATTTAAATACTTTTCTGCATCAAGTATATTGACTTGGAATAAAAGAATGTTTGTCAATTAATAAAGACCAACTTTGATGAAATTCGTATAAGAAATAATAAAGTTGGTAATGCGCATGCACACAACAAAAATACAATATTTCCATCATATTATACACATACATACCAAGTTTGAAGAAATTCGGATAAGAAATAAGAAAGATGGTAATGCGCATGGGCACACCAAAAATTTAGAATTATATTAAACACTTATATACCAAGTTTGATGAAATTCAGATAAGAAATAAGAAAGTTGGTAATGCGCATGCACACATCATAAATTCAATATTTCCATCATATTTAGAATTGGATTATACACATACTTGATTTACCTGCTGTGTGGATAGGCATCTTGTATATTGTTTCGTTAGTTAACCAGTTAGTTTTCGTTAATTTTCCATCCTTGCACAAAGAATGAAGATAAGTTGCACATGCATGCCTTGACCTGTATAAATTAGCTAAAAACTTTCATTTGTTAATGATACATTTATTCTAAATATGTCTTGCAGATTGTTGATTTCGGATTCAGACAGAATGGTCAAGCTGTCGGAGATGTGAAACTTCCATCCTGGGCAGAAGGTAAATTTACTCACGCAACAGGATTTTGAGGATATATTGTCATTATAATTTCTGTAAGTCTGTCTCATAGAGTTATATTATAAGAAGAAGACATCACAGATGTATGAGTTACCAACCTGTCTCACCTATTAGGATCAGTATTTTCGATGTCTGAAACTGATGGTTCGTCTCAATTATACAATTAAAGTTTTGTTTACGACTTTTAAAACAAAATAATTTGGACAGGTAGAACTAAAAAAATTAAAAATTAATGCTTCCAGTATATTTTTTTCTTATATCTATGCAAACAATTCACTGAAAAGTATAAAGGTAGCAATTAATAATGGAAAGTCATAATATGTTTGTAATTAAAAAATGTCGTTTGTCCGCTAATTTTCTAAATGTTGTGTGTAGGCATTTTTTTTAACTTTATTATCAAAAGGATATATATTCAGGACTGTCTCTGAAAGTAGACGTATTTGAGGCAAACCAGTGACTTATTCTGTTGTGTATGAAATATTGAATCTGTATTTATGAAAATTAGGCCTGGACGAGGGAGTAAAGGTTGTAACTTTGTTCTAATGAAAAAGCTATGAAAGCAAAGGCACAGGACTTAAAAGTTCTAAGTTCTTTCATTTGAAAAAAAAAATGTATGTTTATAATTAAATGTTCGTAAATCCGTGTTCTGTACACTTTAAACTCTAGATAATCTGAAATGAGCAGAAAAGAAATTCCCCTTGGGATGTTTGGATCAAAATCGGAACAA